TTAATATTAGGGACCTCATATGTTTTTCCTCCTCCCTTCCGAATGACATCAGTCCCTGGAGTCAAATCTCCATTCAGATACATCTTCATGGTGTATCGTGTACGTCTGGAAGACTTTCCCATTGAAGGACCACAAACGTCAAATAAAATGACGTCATCTCCGGACCGAATCGCCACAGCACAATTGCAGGCTGCAACCCTATTACAACGGCGATAAAACGTTCGTACCTGAAAAAAAAAACTTTTTCATATGAAATGGATCTATCATATAAAAAAGAAAAGTAAAATATTATGCCCATTATTTTCCTAAGATTGAAAAAAAATGGTCTTCAACGTGTGAAATAAAAATGGTATTTAAGAACACATAAATATCTCTACCATTAATAAACAATTTATATAATATCGTGGAGAAGAGCCACGCGTGTATTTATTGATGACAAACAAGTTGATGAAAAAAGAATATCAGCAGTCTCGTTTAAAGTCACCATTTCTTAGTTCTATGGTCGATACAATGACCTTGTCAGTAATTGCAATTTATTATTGAGTTAAATGCTGACTGATGTTTTTATACTAATTGTTAGTCCATTATTTATACACTGAATTGACGACGGATTTTCCGTTATTTTCCGACAAGGAGCACACTGCGGGTGTGACAGGTCGGCAGGGGATGCTCACTCCTCCTGTGGCACCTGATCCCACCTCTGATGTTTCGGAGGTCCGTGTTTGGTCTTCTCCTGTTTTGTATGGTTTTATGGAATTTTGATTTTGAATACTGTTTGTTATCTCTATATGTTTCATTGTTTGAAAACTGAAAATAAATATATTTGTGTCATTATTAGACACCTGTCGTACCTCATAAGGCAAGGTTCTGTGTCTGTACAGAATGAATTCTCCCTCAAGGTAGACGTCGTAATATCTATAAACAATAAGGGAAATACCTTTCAATTAATTTTCAATAGTACAATCCAAACAATGCTTTCAAGTTCAATTAAAAAAATTCATACTTTTAATTTTTACTCTATCGAGATTCGTTTCTATTGGCCAGTATGTGATTTGCTTACTATAGGATCAGGAAAATAAATACGATTATCAATTGTTAATGTTAAAATTTTACCTAATAAACAAATATTACCATCCGAATAGTAAAAAAAAACGTATTTTCTCACTTTTTATCGAATGTTGTCATATGGGGGTCGTTTATTGAAGAACATAATGCTACTTTATCTCCATCAATGACTGTCACCTAAAATATATGTAAATTTGAAAAGCATTCTCATATTTTTAAGAATGTTTTATGTGCATTTCATTATCAGATCTCAAGACTATTTCCTTGGTATACCTGTACAGTGGAGATTTCCCTGGTTTCATTCGGGGTTTTGAGAGATAAACGGATATTTCGCCTTTGGTCTCTATCCCTCAAACTGTCTATGGAAGCTTTGACGGATATTAAAACTCCAGATTGCCAGTTGTCCTTGTTGATCATATGAGAACATGGTTTTGTGTGTAGATTGTCTATACCAAAGACAGCTTGGCTTACAGGAAAACCCCTACATTTAAATTCCCGTCCTGACAATTAAAAGGAGAATTTGATGAATATTTCTTTCTCTCTCTCTCTTCCCCATAATCTTAATGTGCATATTTGATTGTACGAGAGAGAGAGAGAGAGAGAGAGAGAGAGAGAGAGAGAGAGAGAGAGAGAGAGAGAGAGAGAGAGAGAGAGAGAGAGATTTCTTTTAAAAATTTTTAATAGGGTAAACTAATAATGAAAATAATGAAAAACTATAATGAAACTACAGGTACTGTGAGCAATGAGCTCATTAAATGATACCTCCCGCCTCCCATAATGTCCATGTGTTGCTATATATTGTTTTACGGTAATGTATAAAGAGGAATAACTCGTCCTATCAAATGTTATCGAGAAGCTTCTATATGTGACGTCATAGGTAAACAATAATGGCAATGTCCATGTTTTGCTATGGGAAACCTAAAATACGTGTCGAATAAAAAAGTAAAATAGGTGGTGCACAATGGCAATATGTAATAAAGATTCTGTGAAAGTTTCATTTAATTTAACTCAGTAGTATAAGAGGACTTGCAGATAAATGTAAGAGATAAAGCGAACAGACGGACAGACGGATATCCCGATTACTATATACCCTCCCACTCTTCAAGCGGGGGGTAAATTATACGAATCACCCTGATGTTTTTAAACATTCAAAATACATTATGTTTGAAGGATTACCCTTGACAAGCTCAGTAGTGATTTCCACTTTGCATGCATTAGCCCTCAGTTCTTTATAACAAAACAATCTAGGAGGGATTGTACTGGTGACGTTTATGGTGGCAGGCCCTGACCTTTCATGGACAGTTATTTGCGTGCCACTTTCCACCTATGATAAAAGAACAATATCACTGAATTTGATGTACATTTTAAAATGTAAACCCTTTGATATTTTTACCAACTGTTTATAAGCTGTTGATATAAGAATCACAAAGATATTGCTGTAATTCTGAACACATGCAAACCATGTCTTTTACTTATTGTTGATGGAATTAGCATAGAAAATTTGGATTGATTAATCACTCCTCAATCATAAAAACAAAGTTAGTTGATTAAAAAAAAATTGAATGAAAACAAAAATAAATAAAAAAGAAAAACATGGTTTGCTATTAAATACTTGTTTGATAGTAAATATTTGTTTTACCTGTACTTTTGCAATGATAATATTACTGTTTCTCAGCGAACCTCTGAAGCCAGAGCAGTTTCCAGGCATACAGGGAGTGACGGTACATCCAATCTACAAATGAATGAAAATTGAATATCGTGACTAAACAACAAAAAGTTGAATTTATCATTGATATCAATAATGTATCCACACCTCTTAACAATTTGTTTAACGTCCTATGCAAGCAAAGCCACTTTTAAAATGCATCACATGAAAAATAAATTACAAAGGAGAAGCACGTGTAAAAATTGCTTTATTAGGAAAGACCATTTTACATTGATTTTATAAATAAAACTAGAAGTACTGTGAGCGAAGAGCTCACTAAATGATACCCCCGCCTCCCATATGGTTATAACTGGTGAAAAAGTCCATGTTTTCCTGTGGCCGGGAAACCCAAAACATGTGTCGGATCAAAAAGTAAAATAGGAGGTCACAATGGCAATATATAATCTGTGAAAGTTTCATCAAATTTCATTCAGTGGTATGAGAGGAGTTGCGGATAAGAGATGATTAACAGACGGACGGACGGAATTATATTAATATAAAGCGGCAAAAACGTACAGTTGAATTTTCAATCTTTCAGTTATTACCTGGTCTCTAAAGAGAAGAAGAGGAATGTGCGTTTCTTCCAACAAGCTCTCTGTTTTGCTTATCGTCACTTTTTCCTCTTTTATCATGTCAGAATTATAGTACCAATTTACGAGGAATTCAATATCAGTGAAATTGGTATCAAAGTCACAGAGGAGGCTTGTTTCTTGAGTAGTTTCATTGACTTCGAAGGTTAAAACGGGATCCTTGTCTAAGTGAAAAGCTAGAAGGTAAAAAAATGCATGTTAATTAATTATTATAATCTTCAAATGACACACTTTTAGGATAAAGTCTTCACTTAGGTAAACTATGCCTCTTTATTAAAATATTTTTTTCATCTTCGAATGAAGTAAAACACTTTTAGTTTAGGATAAGGTCATCACTCATGTCAACTTTGATCAAAAACAGTATGCATCGGTGCTTATCAAAAATATAAGTACGGAAAAAGTACGGAAAATAGGAGTTTTTTTTACTCATTCAGAACTAAGACTTAAGTAGATTCAGTAATAACATTCATCAGTAGCCTACTATATTTCATTAAAAAATCCATGTCTGAGAGGTTTGCAAAGACCTGTGACCGGAGGGTCGTGTGTTCGAACAAGGACCACGACTGACCTTAGTCGATTAAAAATTGGATGCAATGTGTTCCTTCGCCATGCGCTCGGCACCTGAAGTGAAAGTTGGGTCCTTCAGATGATACCTTAAAAACCGAGGGCCCGTGCCACGGTAGGCGTTGGTACGACAAAGAACCCTCACTGCTCAATGGCCCAGAGTGCCGAGTAAAGGTCTAAATTTTAGATTAAATGGTGACGTCTCTATATAAACTAGAGGTACTGTGAGCGATGTGCTCACTAAATGATACCCCCCGCCTCCCATATGGTTATAACTGGTGAAAAAGTCCATGTTTCCTGTGGCCGGGAAACCCAAATATGTGTCGGATCAAAAAGTAAAATAGGAGGTGCACAATGGCAATATGTAATAAAGATTCTGTAAAAGTTGCATCAAATTTCATTCAGTGGTATGAGAGGAGTTGCAAAATGGTCCCCAAAGCGTAACAGACGGACGGACGGATTTAAATTACTATATATATATATATATATATATATATATATATATATATATATATATATATATATATATATATATATATATATATATGTATAATGAAAAATTCTTGAAGGGGATTTAAAACAACATACAATCAATCAATCTTCCAATAGCCTTCAAACATTAAGTATTCATGTTTCCTTCTTTACAGTGATTGTTATTTCATCAGAACAGTATTGGAAGTTTATTATTTCACTCATGTTATTTGCGAAAAAATTAATTAAGGAATAGCAACATGAACAACCATTCCTCAGAAATAATCAAGATATTTCATAGATTCCTATTTATATAAATAATTTAAATAATGTTTTCCATAGTAAGTGCTAAATAATCAGATTTTGTAATAATTTAATGTGCATTTAAAAAAAAAATTCATATAAAATAACATGAAATTATATATTAGAGCACTGATGAAAGCTTTATCATTTGTAGATCGATGTTTTTTAACGCCATTTCTAAGTCAAAAAAATATATCAATCCATACATGAGATTTTTTTGTTTGTGTTATACTTGAACACTTTGATTTGTTTTGTGCTTGATATAGGAAACCAATAAAAATCTTGTTGCGGGGATTTTGTCGTGTGTTTGGTCAAGTATTTAAAAATCAACTGAGAGGTTGTTTTTATGAATCCAAGTAATCATAAAATGTATCGCAAAATATTCTTTCGATGAAGAAACACACATGTGTAAAATACAAATTTTCCATTTAAAATAATTATTTATCAAACAAAGACAATACAATGCTATCTTATAAACACAAAAACGTACTTCTTTTCATTTTCATTATTAATTTTGGTACATGAATAAACTTACTATTTCTTTGACACATATACGTTCTTTTTTCGTTACATCCGAGATCATTCCACAGACCAGATCCTATGTAAGCTGTTAGACAGTCTTGGTTTTTGGAATTGTTAGGCTGATCTGTGAACAGAATTGTTAAACTAACAATCAAAAAATAAAAATAGAAAAAATATCAATTGATAGCTCCCCATCTCTACTATTTGTAGATTTTCAAGGATCCGTTCCTTATTACCAGATATCAGGGGTATATGTGTTTATAAAACCAGTTAAAAGCGTTTTAACAGCATAAGCTATTTCAGACAACCTTTCTAAATCTACCAAATTCACTTACATCTCAACCAGAAGGTGGAACTCCACAACATTGTTGTTCCAGACCAAGCCCACGTGCCTTCTCTGTGTCTATCAAATCCTCCGATCCAAAAGTCAGCCCTATTGTACAGTCCTGCAAATTTTTTTAGTCGATTTGTTAATCCTTAAATTCTTACCGTAATTCTTCATTAATACAATTTAATTTCAATATAAAAACCCATCACTGTTCCTTAACCCGTCAGACACTACGTACAAAACATTTAAACTATATTTACCGTTTACGAAAGAGTGTTCAGCAGAGTTTTTTATGCTAACGAGAACGGCTGTGTTGGCCTGACAATCTTTCATGGCGTTGTTCCATGTCAGTTGAGATGTGAAGTGTTTGTAACAATGTCCGTCTTTCACGGCCCAGGAAGAGTCACAGAAGGACAGGAAAGCTTTCAATAAGACACATAATTAAAGAAATGTATCTATCTTTATTAATACTTGGGCTAAAATTATAGATGTGTGATCATTACTTTGTTTGAATGCTAATTGTTTTGAAAAAAATCACTTGACTTAGAATTTCTGCTGAATTGTTACTAACGTACTTCTCTTTTTACAGACAAATGCTCTCTCTTGGCTACAGTCACGGTCACTCCATTTTCCTTGATTGTTTATGATAATACAGTGTTCAACATTGCCCTGGTTATCTGGTTCTTCTGTAAAAAATATCACATAGGAAAGATCACTCGACCTCAGCCGCCAACAAAGTATCATCAATTTCTCAGACTACAAAACTACGATCAAGTTAACGTACAACGATCATAAACAACACAAAATACGGATCCCTGACAACACATTGGAATAAGGAGTAACCAATCCGAGTTGCTCAATCAGACTGCTGTGTGGCAGCTGTATTCATGTACAAAATACGTTAAAACCGTTTATACGTGTGCAAGTAATATCTGCGATATTCACGGATAACTGAAGCTCGCGCATCTTCAGTTGAAAGTAATCAAAATTGGTGAAAACTAATACAACATTTTATATCCCTAGCCTTACTAGTATTCCAGTTAGTGTAATTCCAGGATTGGTGACTGCCATACCACAACCACTGGCCATTTATGAAGATATCAGAGGCACCTATCCAAACATCCGTTCCATTGACGAAATCTGAAAATATACACATGCATATGTAAAAAGATGTTGAACTTTATTATAACGTAATAATTCTATTCATTAATAAGTTTTAGATATACCAAGAAATAACTGATTTTTCAAGAAATAACTGATTTTTCATGGGGTTTGATTTAATTTGTTAACATGTGTTACGAGACCATGAATTAATATCCTCAATAAAAAGTAAAGAATTTCATATTCAAAACAAATCACAAAATCACAAACCAATTTTTTTTTCTCAATTAACCAAAGTTTGACCCTACGAAAATATTTTATTTAATGAAATCATCATCATCATTTTATTTTAAAGAAACGTAGTAATTTACATGTTCTTTTCAAATTACCTTCATCGTAGAAAATGTTTATTTAAAATTGAAATTTTTAACATTTTGAATCTTTGTTTGGTTTTGTACAAAAATCCAAATCCCTTCTTTAAGAATAAATTGTAAACTTCACCTTGCAAGAAATTTTGTTCACTCTCAGAGGCAATGTCCACCAAAATACTATCTTCGAGTTGACAATACCTATAGGCGTCAATCCAATCTTTTACCGACGTGTACAGTCGGTAGCAATTCTTGTCATACTGGGTCCAGTTGGAGGTGCAGGTTAATGGTATCTCTCGATGTTCTATAATATTTGGGATAAAAAAACTGCACGATTAAATAACCATAAAATCAAGAAAATCAAATTGGTTCATTTTTTCATATACTGAACTGACGACGGATTTTTCCATTATTTCCCTATCATCACAAGGAGCACACGGCGGGTCTGACCGGTCGGCAGAGGATGCTCACTCCTCCATGGCACCTGGTCCTGCCTCTGATGTTTTGGAGGTCCTTGTTTGCTCTGCTCCTATTTTGTATTGTTTTATGGACTTTTGATCTGTAATACTGTTCGTTATCTCCATATGTTTCATTCATTAAAATGGATTTGAAGTTTTTAACACAACATGCATTTTTACCTTTGTTTTATGCTGTTATGAAGATTTAACATTTTGTTACCTTTCGAAGAACAAACTGATATATTTTATTTTTCATTACAGAATTATACAGTCTATAGTCAAAAAGAAGGTAAATGAAGGATAAAATTGGTGGGGTTTTAATTCTAAAGTTTTCCTTGAAACGTAATATTAAAATACGAAAAAGCGATAAGTAGCTCAGGGTGCATATACTTTTTTTTTTTTTTTTTTTTTTTTTACAAAATGAAGTTCCCTCAAATCCTGTGTGTTCAGAATTAGTGTCATAATTCATTAAATTTCCAGTATTTATGTTTACTTATGATTGAACACACTTCGTATCTTAGAAACATGTGGATTCATATACTCTACCTGATTAAAATGTTTAAGAAGTTTAATCTTAAACAATAAATAAGTAGAATTCTAGAATTTGTTTACTTTAGTTTCCTTATATTAATTATAGTAATGCTATGAAACAGAATATAATTAGATTTTACAGTTTTTATGTAAAATCTTGCTTAAAATTACTACTTTGGAGTTTTGAAATTTTTACCAACACCTTCCATAATTGCACATTCACCAATGAAAGGGGTGCCATCGCAATATTACACCTAATCATGTTAACGTATAATTTGTGTCTTACCGGTTATAAAGTAAATTTAACTCCTTGTAATAAAATGCAGAACACAACCCGATATCTGTCACAAAAAGTGGAAAGGGGGGTACGATATAACGAGGTGTCATTTAATTTAACAATACCTGATACGTTTATGTTTATTCTTGCTTCGATGAATGTCTCCTATCTATGTAAGAAATTAGAAACCATTTACCTCCGTACCCTTAAACATTTCCAAAAATACTGGTTGAAGTAAATAGCATTTATAAGGGGTATAAGGTTTATCAAAGTTTTATTAACTACAGTTGCTCTAAAAATATTAACTGCATGTATTTATTTTTTTTTTATTTAGATGCTAGATTTCTGCCTATACATTTTAGTTATAAGATTTTATCTTTTTGTGAAGGTATTTTTCATGAGAATGTATCCTGAAACAAGTTTCTATAAAAAATAAAAATTAAACTGAACCCTGCTTATCGTTTTCCTCCTTTCTTATTCAAAATATAGAAAAAATACTTTTTTCTTCTTTAGATTTTTCAATGTAGAATAAAATAAAAATTCAACTGAACCCTGCTTATCGTTTTCCTCCTTTCTTATTCAAAATATAGAAAAAATACTTTTTTCTTCTTTAGATTTTTCAATGTAGAAAAAAGAAGTTTAAAAATTTAATAGGAGTTTGCTTACTAGTAATATGACCAAGAATGCTGATAAAAAGCATCTTTGATAAATCGGCCATCTGAGGTCACCTTTCGGTAACGCTGGTGTGTGCAAACTTTTACTATCGATATTATTAAGCGTGTTTTAAACATTTAAACATGTTTCGTGTAAAGAAGCTATTAATCTGTCATTGTAATATAAATTTACTCAAATAAACATCAGTCCAGTATATCATGCAAATTCATGACTAATAGGTCATGCAAAAATTGTGGGAAAGTGAGAAATATAGTCTGGCTAGGAGATTAAATTAAAGTCACACTTTTAAATTTTATTTTAATATACCCGGTAGTTCAAATTAAGCAAATAATCATCATCAGGTTCTAATGGAGTAAAGAAACAAGTTGAAATATAATATTAGCATGAAAATATCACAGTGAAACATTTAGAGACACTAAGCAAGTTTACTTATTTTAATGAATTAAAGTTTATGAATGCCATCATCATTCGAAGTAAAAGATAAATTGTTTTGTAAACAAGGTCATTATATCAACCTTAGAATGAACAAAAAAATTATCTTCAAATAAGATATGTGATGGCTGATATCTTTATATCATCAACGTATGTAATGCAGCAATGTAAATATTTCTATATATAATATGTATGTTCAGGTGTGTATTGTTTTTATTAAAAATCTTCTTGGGAAATCTTTTTCACCCTTAGAATTTAGCAAAAATAAAACCTGAATGTTAAAGGGTAAATTACAATAATAAGTATTATGGAAGAGGTTTATTTACATACATTGATAGCAATACAACAATTTTCATTTTATACCTCTCAATGTGCTTCAAGGTTTTTTGAAGTTCTTAGAAAGGTCTTATTAAAAATCTAAATTTTTACCCCATAATAGTGTTTTTAAATTATATATTTTAAGAAATTGGGGTTCTTTTAATATAAAAATAGATACCAATGTTTATTAACTTTATGTGAAATTAGAAATGATTTATATTGTTTTGCAATCAGAGAAAAAATCTTTATACACTATGCATTGTAAAGTTCTAGGAAGAGGCGTTATTTGCCGAACCACCATCCCTTTTGTGAATTTTATAATATTTCTAATATATTGAAGCAAAACTCACGATAAAGAGTTGTTAGTTTGTGCAAAGTATATTTATATGTAAATTGAAGACTTTCCATAACTTTTTTTTTAAGTTTCTTAACTTACATACCCAATTAGTCGTATTTTCTTTAGTAGTTTTAAAACAATGAAGTTTTATTTTTAGTTCATGGATTTAATAAACCAGGTTTTATTCCTATCGTATGACTCTGTATAATTAAATTAAATTGAAAATAAAATGATTAAATGTATTTATATATAATACATGTATCATAGGGTGTTTTTTTTTAATTAAGGAAGGCTTCTGGGTAATCTTATTCACTCTAAAAATTTAGGTAACATGCCCGATTTATGTGAAAAAGGTTAATTATAATACATGTATTGATTATGAAAAAGGTAAATTAATATACTTTATCACTGTCATGTGCAAAGTAATTTTGTTGAAGAAATAGTTTGATTAAAACACGAGAACTTCGAAATTGATCTTAAAAGAATCTTTTGACAGTATATAGATTATAATTTTCGGATACAAGCCCTTTCTCAATCTACTGAAATTCAGTTGAATTTCAATTTGAGCAATGTATTGAAATTCAGTTAAATTTCAATTTAGCCCTGTTATTTACGGATCTAATAATTCAATTATTATGAAGATGAAAAAGGTAAAAAAAAAAAAAAAAAAAAAAAGCTCGATTTTTAAGGATTTCATCACAGACTCTTAACCATCTTATTCAATTATAAAGTTTTACTGAGAAAAAAATTATTAATTACATACCAACAACTTAACGTTATCTCAAACCTGATGACCTCATATTCCCTTTTGTTAACTTTTCTCATAATGAAGCAATATCAACTCTGGCTTATGGGGTTTATGTCTCCCAGTTGGTTCGAAACACAAGAGCATGTTATTTGTTAAACGTTAGATTTACTTAAGACTGACAAATAGGTTAATATACAAAGATATAAAGAAACTTGTGAACTTCAAAGTCAACACAAGTAGATTTTCGACTTCCATTTTTATTGAAAAAGCAACTGTCAATGATGTTAAAAAGCCTGGAATTTAATTTATCGTGAGAAATGGTTATATTTAAAGTTGAAAAGTCGTAAGTTTTAATAATGTTTATTCTGGTAATAAAATCTTGTGATTATAATTTTCCAAAAGTTCCTTGGAATTTTTAAGTATCTGCATCTGATTTACACTACTTCTCGAATATATTTTTGTGCAATACTACTGAAGTTTCTCCTGTGAGAAGTATAGACAGACTTGGTAGAAGATTAACTGGAATCCGCTATGTCACTGTTTGTAAGGACTTTTATGAAGTTTTGGGATCCAATACAGATATGGTAATTCAATTTCATTTTGTTTGTTAGGAATATTAAAAATATTCGATATGCGATAAGACTTTGAAGAATTTCCCCCCTTTTTAGCAAGGGATCTATTGAAATAAGTTGGATAACCATTTATAGTAGTAAATCAAAGTTCCTCTTAAATACAATTTAATTAACGAGCCTTACAAACAAAGACGTTGTTTCCTGTTTAGTCAGCAGGAACCAGTATATATTGATCATGCAATCTATCTAACAAAGAAGAATAGTTACTTTTAAGTTTGCACCTCAGTAGCTTGACGAGAGCTTTTAACATACTTCTGATACACTTAATCAATTTTGACGTGTCAATGTCTTCTTTTTCATAATTAAATTTACCCGATCATGACCATACAATGTTACCGGTTGACAGAAGATTCTCACTTCTCCATAGTTTGTGATTTGAAATCTTATGTTTTAAGGATTTACATTTGCTCTGCTCACAATGCGTATTATTTATTTGGATTTTGAGCATGTTAATTGTTCGTTAACATCACAAATTATTCTTTTAAATTATTCTAGTAAACGTTTGCCCTCGTAAATATTTTGAAATCACTGAGGTTAAAGTCTTAAAATTTGAAGCAAACTTACATCTAACAAGAACGGACCATTTTATTAACAATATGAGGAAAAATCTATAATATAAATAATGATAAAGTGGTGGCGTCTCCATATGAGTGAAAAAATTCTCGAGAGGGTCATTGAATTATAAACAAGCAAACAACATTATTCTCGAGTCTACATTTGCTTTTTTCAAAGACATATTAAATATTTATGGAGGGTATCCCTATGTGTAGATTTGAAAATCGTTAAAATTTGCTCCGAGTTTTTAGTAAAACTTATTTTCGAATATCTAGTTTAGAAATAACCAAAAGCTACGTAAAGAAGTCTTTCTAAGTATGTGAATTACTTAAGGTTTAGTACTTTTGTAGTCTAATGTTTCAAATAAAACCGCTGTCAAGATTAAATCCGCATCATTTAGAAATTGATAAGATGCACCTACCTTGACCTTTCACATGGCAGATCAGAAAACAAAGGAAAACAATACGTATTGCTGAACATGAGAGAACCAATGAATTGCAACAAAAAGTATTCATGTTAGAACATAAAACTTTGCTTATACATCAACATCATAAGCTTCACCTTCCATCTAGAAAGCAAAATAACTGTCTCAACCATAGTACGTATAAAAAG